ATTTTGAAAATGCAAACAATCTGAAAAGAGCGCACAACAAAACACGCCAGACAAACAGTGTAGAACAAAAGACACGGTAAGAACCTTAAGACACAAGAAGGAACTGACGGCTTCCCAAAGTAAAAGAAAACACTGATGCTGCACAGACTGAGGCAGCCTAAGATCAGGAAGCACATCGGTCCTCCAGCAGATCTGACAACAGGTGTGTTGTAGTTGATGGCAAAGAGAACAGACACAACTAACGTGAGGCCCACCAAGGCCCCGGCACCGAGCATGATCAGTATGGCCCCGCTGTCTGTAAACGGTATGAACTCCACCAGTCGCAGATTGCAGGATGTACTTCCCTCTGCAGACCATTCTGTGTCCTTGCAGTCGATGCAGTCGTAGGGATCCTCTGTTTTACATGAGACAGACAGACAGTAAGAAAAAAAAAAAAGGTTACATTTTGACAAATGATATTCCGTTTAAATTGTTTGTGCTATTACTATATGGTGTTTGTTAACTGAGACTTATAATTTGGTACAGGAGTGACTATCTTAGAGGCAATTTTGGCAAGACGGCACTAGGATGCAGTTGAATACAATATTTTATATCAAACAACAGATCAATTCCCTGGTCGCTGTTTACTCAATAAGCTCTGAACTGCTCTGCATGTTCACTGGCCAACGTGGAAATAGAAGATGTGTCAGTTTGTCTGTCCAGCACGTTTCTTCCTGTGCAATAGTTTACCTGTGCGGTTGATGTAAGTTCCATTTGGACAGATTCGACAAGTGAAGCAACATTTTTCGCCTTGAAGTTGCTTTTTTGCATATCCTGCATGACATTCCTGGGAACACACTGAAGTAGGCACCTGTACAAGGCATTTAGCAACAAATACAATGTAAGTGAAGCAAAACAAATACTGTGACGGGCAGAGGCAAAAAAAAAAAAGGGAGTTGTATAAGGTAGCTACATATTAAAGATTAGTTTCTTACAGCTCAACCAGAGCAAACCCACCAGAAATGAAGGAACTGTGCACTGAGTTCTATCATAATTTAGCACACATTATTGGAACATACTTACTTCTCCATTTGTGTACCACTTGATTTTGGTGCTGTCGATGGAGAAATGAACCGATGGGTAAAACTGATGAAAGCCGATCTTCTGCGCATCACCGCTGTCATTCCAGAAAACTACATCATAGCCTCCGAACTTGGGGTCACCGTTCTCATCGAACTGAATGTGCTGATTTAAAAGTGTGAAATTTGATTTCTTCAGCTCTTCTAGAACCTGATGTGGATACACAAAGTTCAGATGACCATTATCTTTATCCAGTGCACATTGAAGATGGTAGTTAAATTGTTTTTTTTAAGACATGACTGTAGAGGAGAGGAACTGCAGTGTGATTTAACCCCTGTAGAGGATTTTGGATGTGGTTTGTCAGAGTGTAGACTTGGACTGTTTTGGCTCAGATTTGGGATGCTGTGGCAATGTTTGAAATGTAATCAGAGTAGCTAAGACACACCTTTTTTTCATTTCCAGGTGCTGAATTTAAAAAACTGGACAGTGGGTGTAAATCAGATGAAATGTAAACTGTATGTGGTCTAACTCTGACAAAACCTGATACACATCTCTATCTTTAAAAGTTCTTGTCTTTTGGTCAAAGAAATCAGAAACACAAATACGCACGATTTAAATGCTAAAGCGCCTTGTATACTTACCTTATGTGGGTACACTGTAATATTTTTATTACATCTGCCGCCTCCGCATTGTAAGGCATTGTGCAAGGCATGAGCGATGGCATATGTGGCAGCATAAACAGGAAAAGAGAACGACGGATCCACAGTAAGAATATCCTCAGCACTCAGGCTACTGCAGTTGCAATTCTGATTGCAGAACTCCTGCCTTCCTTCATCTCCACAGAGAAGCTGGCTTTTGGTAGAATAAATAAAATCAGTGAAACCAGGTATTGATTCCGCTGACTGACACATCCCAAGGATAGTTCCAATGTTTTTGATTCCTTCCAGCTTTGCAAGCTTTTTGTTTAAAGACCATCCTTCATCTGCTATCCACACTTTGTTTGTGATATTCAGTTGTATTGCTGCTTCAATGAGAGATTCAGCGGGCAGTTGTGAAGAAAAAACAATAATGACGTGTACATCCTGTGCTTCTATCTGTTTGAACATTAGGGAGTAATTTGTGTTGTCATTTAAATCTTTGTGGTATGCCAGGCAGATATTAGTATCCTCGATCCTTTTTAGAAACATTGCCAGTCCATCAATTCCATAATCATTGTCACTGTTAAGGAAAGCAACCCAGCGCCAGTTGAAGTATAGCACCATGTTAACAATCACTTCTATGATGTCTTTATTGGGGTGCACTGTCCGCAGGAAAGAGGGGTATTTCATTTTTGCTGAAAATGCAGAACTAGAGGCTCCATAACTGACCTGGTAATGGGGCAATAAAGAAGTTCACAGTTTTTAGTGACAATAAATTATCAAATGTAAAATTTTGAAAACCATTTTAAAATAAAAAAAATTACATTTGTTATAACAAATACTGATAAACAGTTTGTTAAAACATAATGTTAGCAAATTTACCATTGGAATGAGATTGACCATGAAGAGTGGGGCTGCAGTCAGAGAACGTCTGCTTGTAAACGTACCAATCACTGCTATCACCGTGGACTCGTTGGACTTTTGTGCTTGTTGTTGGTGTGGTTCACCCCAAGGATGAACAAACCCACTGGCTGAGGCGAGCTTTAAAATGCCTGGGAAGTTCTGTATATCTGAGCATTGGTCAAACATCTCATAGCCGAGAGACACATCGGGCAGTAGGTTGGTGGAGTTATTGATTTGCTCTACGGCGAATCTCATCAGCTGGAACCTCCGATAATTTGGGAGGAGAATGGGTTGACTGCAGATCGAGAAAGGACAGCAGGGAAATGACGTTTAATTACTCTTAGTGTGATTTATTCAAATGTGTTTGAGTGTGGCTTCAGGACATCCTGTTTGCAGAGATTTTGGCTTATTACTGTTTGTGAAAACTCAAATTACACTGTCATTCCTGAAACTCCTATATGGACATAGATGTTTCTAAACAATAGGACTTAGCATCACATACAGCAATTTGGTATATTGCAATTTACTGGTTTGAGTTTGGGTCAGTTTCCTCTTGAGAAGGCACCCACTAAGATTTGTTAGAAAACTCACCTGGAGCAGTCGATGGCTTCTGGTCTGGTGTGATGAGGAGGGCTACTGGCATGGTGGATATCAAAAAGTCCACCAATCAAATAATCTCCTTGAAGATGAAACTCTGAGGCCGGGGCAGTGCATCGAGTTGAGGCATGTAAAAGAGATCCCAGCAGACACAGAGTAGAAAGAACATGTTTCATGTTTCTAATTAGCGTTTACCAATCTGATGTGAACACTAAAAGGCATTTGCTGCTGCTTTTACAAAAGTGTGAGACACTGGTGATGGTTAAACCTCATCATTTTCATTCACGGGGGATTAAGGACACATTTTGAAATGGTTGGAGGAGAATTCACAAATCAGAATGCAAAAGCGTCTAAACAGCTGCTGTACTGCCTCCATGTGGTTTAACAATCATCGTGAGTAAGCAGTTTAAGGCCTCAGCCATGAGCACATTAGGTCATTGTGGAGGTTTCTTCCTTTTGCCAAAATGAAAATGTAGAATTTTTAAATTCACCTTGTGACAAATTTACTGACAAGACAAGCACAGAAAAATGTATTCATGTGTAAACATGTTGGCGACAGCTTTCTTTCGCTACAGTAAATGACATACTTTGGCAAACTTTCCTTCATCCCAGTCCAAGATTTAAAGGACTAACATTGGTTCCAGAAAAAAATAAGTTCTTTAGTCAGTTTTGGCTAGTATATTATTACATCTTTTTAGGTTTTACTTTGGAATTATAGTGCTTTGAGTTAAATGCTAACGTCAGCTTGCCAAAATCCTCTCAATGGCAATGTTGGCATGATGATGTGAAACATATTTACTATGTTGACAGTCTCTAATATTTTCAAATTACCACCAAACACAGTGGAAGAACAACTGGATTGTATATTTGCAAGTATTTAGTCATAAACCTACATACTGGAAGAATTAAATTTAAACAAAATTAAGCAATAATGAAGTATTTCATACTAGACCAAAGTGGCAGACAGGCCAATGGAGCAATCTCATAGCATAGCATAGTTTAAAAAATCTGAATAGTCATGTCTTTTTGGTCTTTTATTCATGTTAAGTGTGTTAGTCTATTGGGATGACAACAGAGGTCGGTTGGTCAGTCTATTGGTAGAGCAGTTTGTCCACAACCTTTTTGATGGATGAGGTATTTGCAAACCCTGACCAGCAGCTGCAACTTTTAAACCACTTTCCTAATATTGTGAAGGTAACCCTTAGTTCCACCAAAAGAGCTCTGACCCTTTGAGGCTTGGACTCCCCAAGTTCTCTGAAAGCATCCTGTGGCATCAAGATGTCAACAGCAGGTCCTTTAGTCTTTGTAAGCCCTGTGTGTTGCGGGATGCAATTGGACTTGTTCTTCCAGCACGTTCCACAGATTCAACTGAGATCTGGGAAATTTGGAGGCCAAGTTAACATACTGAAGTCTTTGTCATGTTCCTCATACCATTCCAGACTATTTTTTTTGTCTACCGTTTGGAATGTTATCTGTCATAGGATTGCTGACTTTTCCCATACATATGTGCCAGTAGGGACCTCCTCCACCTTCTATTGGGTTCAATATGCATATTATCACACCATTTAATGGAACTATGTCAGCACTTTATATAAAAGCGAACAGGCCCATTTGTGTCAGAATGATCAGCAGGGATTATTTCTGAATTGAGTATTTTTGCAGTGTGACAGGGTGCATTATACTGCTGAAAGAGACCGCTTAACAATACAGCTGCCGTGAAGGAGTGTACATGGTCTGCAACAATGTTTGGGTAGGTGGTACGTGTCAAAGTAATCTCCACATAGATGCCAGGACATAAGATTTCTTGGGCGTGTCAAGACTTACATACTGGCCAACACTCCACAAGACCTGTCATTTTGGAGATGTTCTGATCTAGTCATTTAACCCTCGCCATTTCTTTTTGTCTCTTAGACCCACTCACTGACCCATTTTTTCTGCTNAAACTCCTCCCAAGGTGGAAATTGAAGACCCCAAAGACAAGTGCCTCCGCCAGATGTTCCCAGTTCACCTTCACTTCCCATCAGGGTTTAGCAGGTCTATCTGACAGCCTTCCCTGCCACTGGATCCAACTCACCACCAGGTGGTGATCAGTTGACAGCTCTGCTCCTCTTTTCACCTGAGTGTCCGAAACAAATGGCCACAGGTCTGATGACAGACTACAAAGTCAATCATCGACTTTTGTCCTAAAGTGTTCTGGTACCAAGTACGCTTATGAGCCACCTTATACTTATGGCCAATCTGTGACTAACACAGAAGTCTGATAACAGAACACCACTTGGGTTCATATCAGGCAGGCCGTTCCTCCCAATCCTCCCCCTCAACCTTTCTCCATCGTTTCCCACATAAACACTGAAGTCCCCCAGTGCCCAGGCGGTAAGCCTTCCAGGACACTACTTACAGGAAGGCCGAGTGCTCTGAGCTGCTGTTGAGTGCACAAACACAAACAGCAATCAGTTTCCCCCTCTGCACACACACATTTGCAGAGAGGCAACTCTCTCATTTTCAGGAGAACTCCTACACAGCTGTTGAGTTTTAGGATCCAGAGGATTAAGAACTCATTTTCTTATAGTGTGTTTGCAATTATTGTCTAGTTTGAAAAATCCTCTCCTGCAAAGACTTTAAATGTTATCTTGTTTCTGCACTCACACGGCCCCTTATCAGCAGTCCAACCTCCAAATTGTTTTTAATTGCGAACCGAAGTTGGCCACAGTGGTTTCCCCACGGCACCAACTTGGAAAATCCAACAAATTTTCCTCTGCAACTGTATTTGTTTTTAAATTGTCACCAACTCTAACAACCATTATAGTTAATAAATCATATTCCTTCCATCATCAAACAATTGTCATTTCATGCATAGTGCTCAGCAAAGTGTTCGTTTGTTGTTACTTTTTAAATAACGACTAAAACACCACAAAGTTGTTAATCATCAACTCTTGCGGTTTCAGTCAATGCTTAAAACCTGAAAGGCCCTCTAGAAGAAATATATACCTAAAGTATGATCTCAATAGGTTTGTTGAGCCAGTATGTATGAGATCAAACCAGACATAGTCACAAACAAACATACACAAATGAGTTCAACCTTGTGTCACTGGTTAAGCTGACAGACCAACTATTAAATCATTTCTGGACAATTTAACATTGAGCCACACAGGTCATTTGAAAAAGAAAAATTTGCAATCACACAGCAGAGGAAAGTGATGAATGTCCTGGACTGTCGGCTAAATTTGAATTCAGGTAACCACCTTGTGGAAGGGCGGAAGTCCTCGCTTCACTTGGCAGGAAGGGAGAGTGGACACAATAACAGAGGGGAATCATACATGAGCTTTAACTATGACTCAGCATTGGGGCAAATATCCTCACTAAGACACCACAGCAACACAAAAACCATAGTTTAAAGAGCTTCAAGTAAAGCACCTTCTAGTTGTGTTTAGTGCTAAGTGGTGTTTGCTGTAATATGTTTGCACTTTTATCCTGAGAGATTATTTACCTGATAATCAACAGTGGGGCTGTTACTGTGACATTGTATTCAAACATGATTAATTGTAGATTTGGTGGTCCTTTTGTCTATTTTCTACCACTAATCCAGGTCAGGGCTGTGATGAATGAAATGAAATGAATGAAAAATACTTTATTTATCCCAGAAGGGAAATTCAATCTTGTAAAAG